TACATACCACCGCTACCAGGTACGACGACAAGTAATCCCGAGATTAAGACGAGTAGTAGTTATTATCGAGTGCCGCGATAATATATTATTGGTAGGTATTATAGGTACAAGATGTACGGTATGGTGAGAATAACCGGTGAACATTTCACGGGGGTAGACGAAATCCGATAGCCGAATATATAATATACATAATATTATTATTATTATTATTGTATGCTTTACGTATATATTATATAGATTATATAGCTGGTATGTCGGTGCAGCAAATGGGTATATCGAATTTTATCTGGAAACCTGTTACGCGTCCAGACCACTTTAAGCAGTGCCGGTCTGAAACGAAAACTTCGTGCGATAAACCACCCCGACGTTGAACACTATAACGTGATATCCTTCATTGTCATATTAATTCTTATTATTATTATTGGCTACAATCATACCTATCATTTAGGAGAGAGATACCGTATGTCCATATCGTACTGCAGTTATACTGAGACTTGGTTTTCCTAGTATTAAAGATAATATGATTAATGCGCATGCGACGGAGAAGCTATGCATTTACAAGGTTCTATAAGCACAGCGTTTGATAATCTGTTCAAAACACAGTGCAACCCCTCAATAGCACGGACGCCTAACAAACGGTGAAACATATAAATACCTGCAGACACCCCTAATCGCTGAAATTTTTTCGCTATTTGTAAGTGTCCGTTAGAGAGGAATTCACTGTATAAAGGAATTAAGATGTGACACCTATCGAGGGGTGGGTAACAGCTATAGTTCGAGTAATTTAGGAGTGTCCTTAAACAGAAGTTTCGCATTACCATTATTTTATATTGCATCATAAAGAACTCAATAGAATACACGGAAGCTTAAACTTGTTTTTGTTTTCTATTCGAAGACAATCATTATTGTAAAAGATACTAAACAAAATCGATGGTTTTATAGCCGTAGATATATATGATACATTGTATTATTGTGTGTAAGACTATTGTCGAAAAAAATTAGAAACTTAACAATTATTGTTTAAATATTTTCAATTGTATTTATTAGGGTATTATTTACCTACATATAAGCATTGATTATAAATACTAGTATTTATAATCAATGGTATAATATTATAATAGTGTACCAGTTATGGATTTATAATTTGAAACTAATGGCGTAGCGATTGAGCAATATAAAAAAAATAATTTGTTTAGTGAATTAATATTGATTGTTTCAAATTATTCACAATAATTTGGAAGTACTTACCTACACATTATATAATTTGAGTATTTGAGTATGTAATTCCTACTGACTTACAATTGTTGTTAAGACAGTACATACTGCAAAGTGTATATAATTATAATAAAAATAACGAGTTATACATTGATAAGTACCTATTTGTAAGTGATTCGTGAGTGCGAAGGTGTGTGTCAGCTTCAAAGCTATAATTGCTTTTACTTTGCTGTAGGTACCTAACCGATTATGTGTTCTAAATTATTTTTCTGTATTACATTAACGTACAAAAAAAATTAAGTACCTACCTATTATGTAATTAAGACTTAACCTCTTAACTTTCCCCAGCATTGTTGGTAGCATATTTTTTTTTCTCGCTTGCGTCCCAGACGCATGATAACTGATGCAATTATGTCATTAGTACCTACTCAATTGCAATATGCGATTATTGACATTATTATCTTTATTGACGTTTTGAACGATCGCACTTCGCGTCACGTATGTATACTGCAGACTTGGGCCAGAAAAGAGCGTGCAACAACGATTGTTTTGTTACGATATAATTGTGTAATTGTGTGTGTGTGTGTGTGTGTGTGTGTGTGTGTGTGTGTGTGTGTGTGTGTGTGTGTGTGTGTGTGTGTGTGTGTAGTACAACTGTAATACTACTGTGTACATATATATTGTATTCGAGGATGATGAAGCCCGCTCGCAGTGTCCGCCGCCTAGCCATTATCATCATTACGATCCCTCCGCGAGCGCGCGGTAACCATTATAACCACCATAACCATTACCAACCGGGATACCATCATCATCATCATCATCAACATCATCGCCGTGCGTAGTCGACGAGAAAAAGCTTTTAATAGCTTTGATTGAGTGCCACCCTGAACGCCCCTCCCGTCTTTGCTGCTCGCCACCCCGAGATTGGTTTATTAATACTGTACACAAGCTGTTCGAATTTCCTACAAGGGATGTTTTGCACAGCCACCCTTCACCCCTGCCCGAGGCTTTCGCCCACGCGACATTTGTTCCGCCCCATCGGCTAATATTAATTCTGATGCAAGAATTCCGTCGGGGATAACCGCCGCCCAGCATTAAGCCGGTAACATCATAATCGCGCTTTTGCGAGGGCTGTTTTTGTTTTGGTATTATTATTATTATTTTTTGTTGTTGTTGTTTTTTAAATCTTTCCAATGAGGGTTATTATATCCACTCAATTGGAAATGGTTGGACTTTTTTTTTTAATATTTCTGACCTAGGAAAATGCATTATGTTCTGATGGTTACCCAATATACTTCTATAATATTATGATGATAGTTTTATGGTGATACCCATTAGATATTTTATTTAGTTTCAAAACTTTCTAAAATTAAAAAGTAGAAGTGTACTCGAAGGTACCTATTTTAACTAATTACTCTAGGAACGATAATATTTACGCAACACCAACCGCTGAAGCACTAATATCGGTTTCGTTATATTGTTGTAATTCAAAAACAAACAGTATAATAGTTTGACTTTAACATTTTAATTTCGATGCACCAGACTAATGGCCGTATAGGTAATCTATACATATTTGAATTTACACCAAATATATTTAGTACAAGGTTTTTTTTTAAATTTAAAAATGTTTTGTTTTTTTTACAGCTTTTAATAGACATATTATTTTGAATTTTTTGTTATGTAAAATAATATTATGTTGATTACAATATTATTTTTATGCTCAGTCAAAATGTGATGGGAAATCTAATACAAGGTACTATATTATAACAATATAAATAGTATATCGAATACAGATATAGCACGATTTTTTTATATGTGTTTACTTGTTTATCTAACAAAATTTGTTAGAATCACGAAAATTTTTCAAATTATTTTTTCATTTTACATTTTAAAAGCAATAATAATTAGCCCTGACATTTAAAACTAAGTCGCTCAAAAAAGTTCTTACTACTATTAAAAAATATTTAAAGTACAAAGGTTTAATTTTTTTTATATATAGATATTTGAAGTTCAAATTTTAACAAAATTGGATATTTTATTTAAACAAAAACAAAATTATTTTAGTTAAATTTTTACCTGTTCAGAATCACACGCATTATTATGATTATTATGTGCTGAAAATTTAGCTTATATATTATAGTAACAAGTATATAGCAATGTCCAATTGCTTTAGGTATTACAGCTTTATAAATGATTGTTTAAAATGTCAATTATAAACACATACCTTTCACTTTATGTACCTACATATTTAATAAACTGAAAAAGTTATACACATCATACAATTACTATCTAATTATCATATAGGTACCAAATACTATAAACATTATATTATTATTTATTACCTCATATTGTTTAAAAAAATATTAATATTAGTTTAGTTTATTTTGCATGTACTCATATAGGTATCGTTCAAAATTGATGTACCTACATGAATATTATAATATATTCTATAATTAACTATATGAAAATGTTTCCCATTTTTTTACACTTTATTACATAATTATCTACTAAACAAATCTGTAAATTAATTAATTATATTTTTTCATTCCCCTTGAAGAAACTTACGTTATATAATATTATATATTACATCTATCTATATTGTTATGATATGCATTCTAGTAATAATACATTAAATTGTTATATTTCGAGTTCAACATGATTAATTGTTGAAAACAATAGTTTTGTTATTAAAATCGAAATAAACTATAAGTACACACAACGCTAAGCTAGGCTAAGCTGAAAATGTAAAGTATTATATCATATACTAGGTATTGCAGGTACTTAACTACAAGCAGTGGTCGAAGGAGCTCGAAATAAGTGGAGGGATGCATTTCATAATTTATTCAGCTTTTACGCATATGGTTCAAACGGTAGTACGAAATAAGTGGATGGATGGAAGATGTGAATTATAAAATGTGGAAGGTTCCATCCCACCGCATATCCCCTAAACCCTACTTCGACCACTGCCTACTCGTATAATCATGTTGATCTTGTATAGACATGGGTGCCAGTTAATCTATTATATACACGTAATGCTATGTCATCTATTCGTTTTATAATATACTATTCGAGGAGAATAGGTGAACAAAAATGAAAACCCTCAATATATGCACGTACACATTATGACATAGGGATTTTATACAGGCATTTACTGTACGGCTGTTCGGACATTTTAATATTAATATTATATAATTAATATTGTTCTCTTATATTATATATTATCATAAGTGCTGTGGATTAACCAACTCGGAGGAGGCGGCGGTGGCTTTGAAGTTCAAGCGGAATCCGATGATCGTCTTCGCTATGTACCTATACGTGGTAGCAGTCGTATACATCATATTATTATACAATATATAAATACGGTAGCAGTCGACGCCAAAGACGAGGGCGAACGACGACGGCAGACGAGAGTGGACGACGACGACGGCAGCGGTATAGTTCGGTGCTATAATGTAATATATATATATATATGTATGTACGTACGTCCCGCGCATAGGTACATAAACGACAGTGATGGGTGGGGCGGTTCGGACGCGCGCGGTGGGGGATGAAATCCGTTTTTGGACCAATGGAGTGGGTGTGTCTGTCGCGCCGGGGATGGGCGGGGCGTCGTCGGCGCGAGGGCGGTGGCCGCGGGGTTAAAATGTCCGCGCGCGCGGCGTAAAAACCGTGACTGCCGTCGACCGGGAGGGTCAGAGAAGTGGGGACAAAAACCCGAAAAGGGAAGGAATAATAATAACGATAATAATAGTAATAGTAATAATAATACGGCGGCGGCGGCCCGCTTAAGTGCTCCGACACCGCAAACCGTAGTCGTCTCATCAGTTAGTACAACCACCCGACCGCTCAGCGACGACAATCGCGCGCGTACCGTCGTCGAACACACACGCACGCACTCAATCGCTCGGTCGATTTACTCACCGCGATCGCCGTATTCGATACCCGTCGACGCGACGGTCCGTCACGACGATACGCGCGAGTGTTTATAGATGAACATTTATCATATAAGTGATATAATAATAGCCGAAGGATTATATCATATCGCCGCTCGTCATAATTACAATATTAAACTATAAGGAAAACGTCGACGACGCGTGTGCCACGGAGTAGTATTCAATAATAATATTATACATTATTACAGACCAACCCGTCGTGCCGGCAACACGTGCGAATAATATAACCGAACAGCGCACGAATACGGGTATTGTCGGAAAAACGGATTTTTCCGTTTGTTTGCGACGTCTCACGAAACGTTCCGGTTACCGTCACATTCCGTCATCATCGGTTCCGCCGCGGATATCCGCGACCGTCACATCGACCGCGGCATGTCCGAGTCCCCGCGCATCGACGTGACCGGCAACGACGACGACGACGAGTTGTGCTGCACCAACGACCGGAGCCCGGCCACGGGCGCCGCTAACGGACCGATGACGGCGGCCGCCTGCAAGACGATGATGATGGCGACGGCCGCGGCCGCGATGACGACGGGCAACGGAGGCGGTGGTGGAGTTGGTGGCCGCGAATCGCCGGCCGTCAAGTCGGCCGCACCGCCGTATACGTCGTTTTCTATTTCGAGCATACTCAGCAAGGACAAGCCCGGCGGCGCCGCCGGCAAACAGCATAGGAGCGTGGGTGCAGCAGTGTCGCCGGCCACAGCAGCGGCCGCGGCCGCTGCAGCGGCCACGTTCGATGTCACCGCTCATCTAGCGGCCGCAGCCGACCACGCCATGTTATCCAGGTGAGTCCGCTGCGACGGCGATCACTTGTTTTTTAAGTTTATACGACTGAATTGGCCGGTGGGTAAAGGTGGTAATTATACTGACATTTTTGAAATATTGTTCACAAACGCTGCTATTTTGCAAGTTGTAACTATAAATATTAAAAACCTGTGCTACTTTCTTGGAATTCGATATTTAATATGAAATTACTTATGTAAGAGGATGCAATACATATGGGTCTAGAGAGGCTCTAAAATATACGGTATGAAAATCTATTATCACTTGATCTGTTTTATGGAGTTGAAGTATTTACCACCTCTATCCGCTAATGGTAAATTCTCAAATAACACCTTTATAACACTGTATAATATTTGAATAAAAACCTTTTCAAACCTTATTGCAACAATATTTATTGAACTACAGCACTTTTATTTTAAGAAACTTTAACAATGTGAGCTAATCCTACTTTTACCCTCGACTCCTCCAATTATTATATTAATACACCAAACGTGATAAAATTATCTTTCATTTTTATCGTATAATGTATTATACTGCAATATATTATTTTCGAGCACTGATTAAGATATGTATAGGTATACCTATTCATAATATTATATAGAGGCCCAAGGGCAGATTGTTTGTACTCATTAATGGAAATAAAAGTATACAGTCTACTTCTTAATTCTTATCCATATTTGAGCATTATAATATTGGATTCATACTGCAGGAGTATACGTCATAATAATAAAATATAATTTATTATACCACTGATTATTAATTATATACTTTATATTATGTATAATTCGTTGGTGCCCAAAATCATTAAGTTTCAAGTAAAATACTAAAATTTTACTTTTTAATTTAATATTTACGTAAAATCATACTTATGTACCAATAATGACATAAAACAAAAATGTAATAAGAAAATATAAACATTTTTTATATTTTACGACTCATATTATTATTTTCAATTAACAGTAAAAAAAGTGCATAAACAACATTAACAACGGTAATATTTGGCCTGAATATATTTTGCTCTAGAGTGATGACGTTTTGGACAAATAGTAGTGCGCTCTTTTAAATAAGTATATTTTTCTTAATATCCTACTTGTAAATATAGGTAATAGTTGTTCGAAACAAAATTTAATTTTTGTTCCATACACCTACAGGTATATAATATTAAAATAATACTTTTTTTTGTTTGCATTCATAAATTGTTAATAATAGTTTATAAATTATATTCGTTTATCGTTCATAACGAAATTTATTATTGCTAACAATTATTTTGACAAGATTGGTTTTTTAACATTTTATAATATCTTGACTATAATAGCAGTAGTATCAATGCAAAGTATGATTTGTTCATTGTTGCATAATAGACTTTTTCCACGAAACATTAATAAACGTGACCCTCGAAAATTGGTCTTTTACATTTTAAATATTATTTTTTTATTTAGATGCCTCAGGCCGTTGACTAAAAGTTGTTAACTTATTAACAATGTTAATATTCTATAATATATAATATAATATAATGTTTGTACTAAAAATTATTTGATGTTGGTTTAAATATGATGTACAGCCATAGTTAACACGTAACTAGAATATAAATTAACTCTAGCTAATTACTATAATATAATATAATGAACAAGTCTTAGTACTTGCGGCTTGTTGGTCTTCTCGTATTGACCACCTATAGTGAGAACCTAGGAGATCAAGAAATATTATTTTGATTTCTGGCAGTTTCTGTTTGTTAGTATTAAACGAGGAAGTGCTAGACGGTTAATAATAATTGTATTCTCCAAAGGCTGTACATTGGATCGGGTTTTCTTTGAGCACAAAGTCTGTACTTAGATGCGTTAGAATGACATCTTTTATAAGTTGTCATGTTTTTTTTCCAACGTTTGGGTGTCCATTATACTTTGCTAAGTTGGTTTCTGTTTTTTCTCCGTTCACATAATCATTTTGTACCAATTCTTATACTAATGGTCTTTATAAAGTCTTGGTTTTACGTGCGATGTTTTAAACGAATTTCTCTTTGGTCGTTATGAGCTTGAAGTTTATCTAATTTTTCATTCCATTCAACATTACTGCCTTTATAGCTAGTGTCCTGCAAGCAATAGTGTGTATGTTGTTTTCTCAGTTTTTGATCTTTTAATTTCGGGCACATGTTTATATGACATACCTATGTATAATGTGGTGTTATAACTTATAAGTATGTTTATTAAATATTAGCATGTGTAATAATCTCTGATTCGAGTGAAATCAAAAGTAAATTAAAATTAACTCGGCTAAGTAGGTATACGATTGCATTTAACACTTACAAATATATATTAACCTACTATAGACATATATAGTATAATATTTAGGTGTATTTGTATTTTCTCTCTCACGGAAAAATAATTGTATAGCGAAAGTACACAATATTACATCTTTTTCTGCAAAAAAAATGTAGCTTATACCACGTGGATTAAACAAAATGTTTATAATATTATTATTTTTGTGTTAAGGTTAATAAAGTAAATTATGATAATTACATTTGATATATTTACAGCCGTCGTCATCTTTTAACTTTGTCTTTTCATACTAGTCGGCAGTTATTATATTATATATTAATATATACCTAGTATATTATATTTTCAATAAATTTAAAATGACTTATACCTACGAAATGTAAGCTATAACCCAATTTCAGTGATTTGACTCGTAATAAAAAGTTTTGACAGAATACTTTGTGTTTAAATTTGTTTTCATTTATTTTGTCATCATTCAAGGTTAATTTAACTTTTTGTGAAGTTTACAGAAAGGTGATCAGGGTACATTAAATATACATTATTTTGTGTTTATTGTATTGACTATTTACATAATAATGTAAAAAACAAAAAATAAGATAAAACGATAGCTGGTCTTAAGTAGTTTTCTATGTAATTTTATCCCCATAAATGACAAATTCATATAATATCAAATAGCTAAGAATTGAGAGTGGATTCTGATATTTATCAAATTGATTTCTTTATATCTACATTTTTATACTTCAATATTAAATTCTATAACATTGGTAAAATCTTAAATTTGTATAAATGATTAACTAATAATAATACGAGTAGTATATAGGTAGGTATTTACCTTAATTTTTTTTTTATCATAAAATGAATTTGATTAACAAATAAAATAAACAATATTTACCTTACGGATTACTTAATTATTAGGTTTATATGCGTACGTCCTAATGGCTATAAGCTCATTATGCTACAAATGTGTACTCGTATCCTGCTTATTATTATCGTCGATAAAATATTCATATTTTTACTTTAGTGTTTAAAATTATCAATGTCAATTGTGTTAACATTGTTTACTGAGAGGAGAGGTACAAATTCATACAACTTTGGATTACTTACAAACGATCGTAAATAATGATGTCATCAATAATAATATTATGCCTATAATTCTAACATCAAGAATTTAAGACGATACCACGGAAACTTGAACAATATATTTTTTTTCATGTGAAAATCAAACTAATATTGTTATGCCGTAGTTTATTCCACCGAGTTTCATATGAAGGTGGGTACTTACTATAATATTATACCTATATACTTCACCACGATAAGATCGGTTTATGATTTAAAATTAGAAAAATTTCCATTGGGTTTGGTAAAAAAAAAACAATAATAATAATAATTAATAAACAAATAAAAAGTCTATTATGTCGAAACGTCCCGTTTAAGGTCTATTATAAAAAACGTTTATAATATTATTATGTTGTTCGTATTATATTATGTGTGTATGTTTTTGTAAAATAATCGGCGCGAGTCGGCGGATTCTCCTTGCCACACACACTGCGGCGACACGCCACCCCATATGTATATGCGAATAATAATAAATAATTGTACTGGCACAACAAAAAGATTAAAAATCTACTAAAACGTTTTCCTATTTCTTTTGTGACAAACGTCCCAATTGTTTTAGTCAAGAATTGCTGTTGTTTTTTTAACATTTATAATAGGTATAAATATATACCTATATATAGATCAGTACCTATATATATATATGTGTTATATAATAAATATATATATATCCATACTGGTACATAAATTGCTCTCTTAACTATTTTTTTATTATTCACTTTTTATTATTATTATTTTAAAACGACCCTCTTAATTACACGAAAAACGCTGCTCGAGCACTCAATAGAACGCCCGGTCCTCACAAAAGACGATTGAAAACGGACCCCTTTTCTCTTTTCTGCACAAAAAAAAAAAAATAATAATAATAAATAATACGAACGAGCTATTCCGCTGCCTGTCTGCCCGATTGATATCCAGTTTCCTCCTGTATACAAACAAACAAACACACACACACACACACACACACACACACACATTTTATTATACTTATTTAAAACATTGCCCCGTCACGCCGATTTTGTTAATTACAATCGACCGGCACTGCACCGGCCACCGATTTAGATGTTTTTATTTGTTTAAAACCGGGATCGTACATTCATCATCGTATAATAGCGATGATTGTGGAACACCCAACGCGCCGTTTTTCAGCGCATTGGCCAACGCAAACGATGGTGTTTGATGGATGAGATGTTCTTTCGGTGCATATACGTATAAACATTATTCATACAAATAAAAATATTTACTGCGCTTTATTTTAAATCTTCAAAATTCTTCGCTCATTGAATCTGACGACTTATACCTAATTATGTTGCATTGCCGGTCGTTCAAAAGTTTTATCGTAATAATACGTATGATATAATATTAAATTTAAGTTCTTTAATTCTAATGGTAGTTGTAAACTTGTACTTATAGTTCATACCTACCAATCTATATTGTTATGTATATAGTATACAGGTATTGAAAAAAAATATTAACATAGACTTATGTTGCTTTGAAAAATATATTTAACTAATTCGCTTACCTACATTAACATTTAACGGTATTATCACAATACTCAAAATGAAATCGTTTTATTTGTGCTAGGTATTACATTATAATATATCAGATATTATTAA